TTATGTGGTCACCAAAACAGGAGAAAATTGAAAACTCGTCGTTTCACACAAGCGACCAGTTTCCATCTCGACAAAAGCAAAAACAACCAATACTTTTATTATTATTATAAATTGAAAATTCCAATACATATTACAAATTTATTTGCAATAAAAAAATCCCACCAAACAGCCCCACCCCTTCGCAATGAGCTGTGGCAGCTCTGAAGACACGTCACATTTCCTTTTTGAAAAAAAAATAAAAAAAATATATATATATGGAATTATTTGTGAACCACAACCACGACTATTCCACGTGTACTTCTTAATATGTTCACGTTTTGGGCTTTTTATTATGAATTTACGAGTTATAAATATAGGTGGAAATTATTTTATAAAGTTATTTTTTTTTCTAAATAATAATAATGTTGTGGTTAAAAGTGGAAATCCCGTGGGATGGGAGATTTTAGCTACGTATGTGAAGGATGGAGAGAGAGAGAGAGGATGTTGCGATGGGAGCTGGTACCACATTTTTCACGTGGGATGGATGCCTAGACCACGTGATGCACGAGCAAATGCAATTTTATTCATTGTTTATTTACTAAAAACTACAAAGTGGACTTCATGCTTTCAACCTCTCGTTTGTCTATTGTCATGTAGTCAACTCGTTAATGTTTAATTATAAGTTTTTGTCTCCTCATTTTTAACCTTCTATTTAACCATTTAATTTTTAATTTTGTATCTAATAAATGTTTGACTATAATTACAAATTAATTCTATGTTTAAATGAGACCCTTCATTTTTAATTTCGTGTCGATAAGTTTGTGAATTTTTAGAGATGTCATTTAAGTCAATGATCTATTAGATACAACAATTTAAATTTTTAAAATTTAGGACTTGACACTTTTTAAAATTTATAAATTTATAAAATATAAATTTGAATGTTGGAGGGCTCACTTTATAATTTAACTTTTGTTGGTTTATGTACATTATTATAATAGATATATAATCTTATTGACGTGTTTGTTAAATGAATATATAAATGGATGTTTGAGACTACTTTTTAGCAAAAACATTTTACTAACAAATATTTTAAGGTATGATTTTGAACTCTTAAAAATTCTTTGAAGTGGTTGTTGATCACTTTTTAAAGCACCCTACAAACTTTTTTTAGGTCAAGTTACAGGTTTGTATCTAAAATAAGACGATTTTGAACGAATTTTAGATAATTGGTAGCTTAAACATTAAACTAAAAAGTTAATCTATTAATATAAAAATGAAAGTTTATGAATTTATTAGGAAAAAAAAAAGACAGAGACTATATATACATGAATTTGAAATATTCAAAACATATCAAACTTATAATTTAACTTTTTACCWATTTGAATCACTCAACATGATTTTGATTGAAGAATGATTATGATGATAGCAAAAGTAATTTTTGCTCGATGCCAAAAGTATTCCCACCTAGACCATTAAGAAAGTAAATGAATTTCTTTTTATATTTTTTCCATTATCGTGGGTATGATAAATAAACAACAAATAAAAGTATATGTTTTTTTTTCCTTTTTTGATGGACGTTCGGTGAAAAAATAAACCGTACGAAAAAAAAATCTACATTATTGTTCGGTGGGCCTAGTTGAACTTTAGAAATAATAATAATAATTATTATTATTATTTGGTGGGGCCTGGAGACAAGCTTTTTGGTCCATAAAAGCTTGCTGATTTTTCAAAAATTAATTAAATTATATTTGTTATTAGTTCATGTTGGGCTAGTTGTAGATTATTAAAAATAAAACAATCTGTATATTTATAATTAGATTTTGCCACAACCTTTTCTCAGTTTTAATTACGAAAAAATAATGAAGAAAATATACCCAATATTCGTTTAAAGGCCCATGCACGTGAAAATTAATTTAAAGATTTGGTTTATGAATACAATACTTTAAAATATGCGTTCTAAAGCTAATTACAATAATGTAGCGTAACCATTAGAAAATATATAAATATAGGGAAGTATACAACACGTTGAAAACTGATTATTGTGATGGTTTGATTAAGTAAATTATTACTATAAAATAAATATAAACTGAAGGGATTGTTATCATCTAGGTTGTATAAGTAAATTATTATGAAGTACATGAACTCGTGATTCATGCTTTTTTTTTTCTTTTAACAAAAAAATTTTGTTTCAATTATTTCAAAATAAATAAGAATATATATTCTTTCTTACGTCCCATCAAACTTCTTCCATCACCTCAATCTTCGTTTTTTTGTGAAGTTCACCTTGAATATTGACATTATGATTCAAATATTCTTGAGTTTTCAACTKGCGGATATTTTATCTTGGGGTCGTTTGGTTTGTGGGAATCCAAGATTTTCGTGAGACAGACATCTGGATTCTCACATTTGTTTTGTAATAATGTAAGATATCCGGGTATCTCGAGATGTCTGRGTATCCTAGAATGCCCACAYGGAAGGCATCTTACAAGTTTTGAATGCCCTTTTGAAACACGGATTTCCAAGATTTCTGTGTTGAAGACATCCACTTTTTACGTTTTTGCCCTCTATTTTTTTTTTCTCAATCTATTTTCTTTCATCAATTTTTTTTTAAAAAAATTTCCTTTATTTTTATTTTTAAATTTATAATTAAAATAAATTAATATACTCATCATCTAATAAATAACTTTATGCTATTAAGTATATTTGTATATTAGATTTACATGTAAAATAAACTACAATTAAATTATATAATATCTCCATTTATTTTTAATATTACGAAGGAATTACATTATTAATAATATTTATTATCATAAATATATAATTGTAAAGCAACATTTTTTTTACAGACAACATACTCGTGATATTTTTCATYTTAAAAAAAATATAATGTGATGATATAATAAATAAATTTTACCAAAGATAACATAAATTATATAATTGTTCTGTTAGAAAACTATTAAAGTTGAAAATGAAACTTACGTTAAATTAACAATGAATTAATTTGTTCTACAAAATAACATATAAAAAAGACAAATATTAAATTAATTCAAATAAATCTATTATATTAGCTGAATTTATAAATTATGTAAATATTTGTGAGGGCATTTTTGAAACATTGTATAAATTTAACACATTCCTAAGAATAAATCATCTAAAACAAACGTGGCTATCTAAATATTCTCGGATATCTCTAAAAATATTCCTACAAAACAAACGTGGTTATTTGAATATGTAGGACATCTAACATTCCGGACATCTGAAATTCTGGATATCTCTAGATATCAATCATCTACATTTCCAAAAAACAAATGGCACATTAAAATCGTTTTACGATAGTAATCTCTTTAAGTTTATATGAGTATAATTCAATGGGTTAAAACATATATTAATTTTAATTAAAAAATCAAATATTTGAGTCTCTACTCCTGCACAGTTGAAAAGAAGGATAGTAATTTATTTAAGATAAAGGAATTTAGGGTCATCTAAATATTATTTTTTAAAGTCTAAAAATTTATGTGTTTATTAATYCAATTTGAGAATTTATGAAAAAATCTCTCCCCTAATTTACCACTTCATACTCATATAATTGATTTTTATTTAAAAATATATTTCTTGTAGAATTTTTTATTCACCACTAATATTGCTGTAAATTGTCTGGAATATTTATCATATATGTGTGATGTGATATTAAAARAAAATTAAAATAAAAAATATCTGCATGTTTTCATTCAATTTAGAATACAATAAAAAAAATACACTTAAAATTACAAAGAAGTTATATTTACTTTCACAGAAAAAAAAAGTTATATTTGCGATTATTTTATTTTAAAATTACATTTACCTGATAAGTGTAGAGAAGAGGTTCATCAAACTATAATTCTGAGTGACGGTATTTCTCAAAAWATAAAAAMTAAAAATTGAGTGACGGGTCAAATGTCGATGGGATAGAAATATTGAAATATYAATTTTATGAAAATTAAATATCGATAAAAATATTGAAAATATCAATATTGAATATTTCTAGAAATGTTATAAAAATAAAAAATTATAACAAATATTTGAATTAACAAATAAGTATTTCACAGTAAGTTAAAATTATTAATATTAATATTATGCTAATATCAATGATATTTTATTAATATTTATTTTTTTCTCAATTTTTTAAACCATATTTTACAAATGTGCATTTATCCTAATTATAGATATATGAAAATATCGATAAAAATGCCCCGGAAAAATCATCATAGTGAAAATGAAAATTGGAATCGGACAAATTTAAATAAAGATCAAGGAGACGCAACTTTAGGAAAATATCAGCCAAGAGATTGATAATTTTATAACAATATATTATCACACACTTAATTTGTTTTCAAACAAAAAATATTACAAATTTATTTTCCATTATTATTATTTTTCATTGCACTTTACCATTGTCCGAATACAATTAGAGGAAAAAAAAACTAACAAATTAGCATTTCACAAAATTTAAAATGAGTTTAATATCATTATTATTAATAGCTTCACATGAACAATTATTGTTACTTTTTATTTTCTGTCTATATTTATACAATATAGTATAAATATCAGTTAACTATAGCCATCAATTTACATGAATAAAATGAATTAATCTATTACAATAATTGTTACAAGAGAAATATTTGGAAAAAATACTTAGTTCCTTAATTGAAGGATTAAAAAAAAATATTTTCTAATAAAGTAATGATATTGCAAATGTTAGTCAAGAATATATAAGTTGTTAATTGGTCAAGTATTTTGGACGTGGACGGTAGAGAATTGATATCATATTCATAATGAGAGAAATATTATATTTTCAATATTTAGTGTTTTGTTCTTTTTTCTTTTTTTTTTTAAATAATATACGTATATCAATTTGCTTAGACCACGTCCTGGAAAAAAGAAGTAAAAATATATATATATGGAAGTTGAGGTGTGCAGTTTAAGCGGCGCAATTTAGCAATAGAGGCGCAAAATTCAGAGCTGCAACTAATTTATCGTATGCGACTGGTCGCGGGGCGCTCACATGTATAAAACCAGCGCTTCTTCAGGGAAAATGCAGGCTGCTATTATAACGGAATTCTCTACGCCGAGGGATTGAAAGTTTCGCCGCCGTCGTCGTCGCCGTCGCCGTCGCGGCGATCTCTGTGAGGATTTTTGCTCCGAGGATTTGGAGAAATGGTGGATGAGTGTGCGTTGGGTTGGATCTTGGCGGCCGCGCTGGGCGCCGTGATTGCGCTTTGTTTGTTCGTTGCTCCGAAGACGAACAATCAGGACGGAGGAGTGGATTCCAAGGCCACGCCGGAATGCGTCCAAACCACTAATGGAGAATGCAGATCCGACGGCGACAGCGACGTTATCATCGTCGGAGCCGGTGTTGCCGGTTCCGCTCTTGCTCACACTCTCGGCAAGGTACCTCCCTCTCATCGCATCAATTTCTGTTTTTCTTTTTCTGTCTTCATTTTTGGGTGAAAACTTAGGCATATTGGCGTTCTGTTGAATTTATGTATGTAAACGGAAGAACAATCCAACGGGGAGTTATCAATTATGGATGTGAGGAAAAAACATTGGGAGTTTAAATTGTTCGTCCATGTATTGGTGAAACGATTGGGTGATTCTTTTTTTTTTCACGGGCACAGATATATAGACAATATTATTGGCCAGCAGTTTAGTTTTATAATGGATAGAACTTGTACTTCCTGTTTTTTGTTCTATAATGTTCAGATGATTGTTGAACTAAGGACGAGTAGCCAATTTATACTCAAAATCTTAACCCAATAACTGAATTTTTCTACTTTTTTTTTTAACAAGTTTTGGTTGAA